ACTCAGTGCTTTCAGACTCTGCCCAACAATTCACCTGCCTGTGGGGAGAAGGTGGTGATGGAAGTCACATGATTCAGAGGATGTAGGCACAGAGCTCTCAGTCCCACCTGGCAGCAAACCCTTGCCAGGACGCAGTTTCCCGAGGTGGGTCTCAGTGCTTTCAGACCCTGCCCAACAGTTCACCTCCCCTTGAGGGAAGGATGCTTTGAATATCACACAATTTGGAAGGCTTGGTCTCAGGGTTCTCAGACCCAACTGACAGCCAACATACATGGCCAGGAGTCAGGTTCTGGAGGCTCAGTATTACTTCAGTATTATGTCACTTTTCTACTGTAACCCTCAGGCAATAGGACTGTCTCCTCACCAGGAAGGGTGGGAGCTCTGACCACTGTGTCCTTCACTGCCCAAACTCCCTGCTATTTAACCATCTCAACAGGATCACATCAGATTGTCTCCCTCTCCATGACCTCATCACATGGCTGTCTCTCACTTAGAGAGATATAATATATCTTAGTTATATTTACCCTCTCCATTGTTCTCCTTCCTCCCTCCCGTCTTAGAACAATTTCAACAGGCTTCATTCCTTTATTTTCATGCATGAATACAAAATCCATCCACTATATTCACCTTCATTCACCCTTTCTTTATGCATTCCTCCTTCCCACTAGCACCCATTCCTGGAAAAGATCTGTTTTACTCTCTTGTCCTTCATTATAAGTGATATCATTAATTTCAAATTTCAATTGCTAATACAATGGAAAGCAATTGACTTTTATATATTAACTTTTTATCTTGCAACTCTGCTGTATTCACTTATTAGCTTCAAGAACTTTTTGTCAATTCCTTAGCATTTTCTGCATAGACAATCAACCTATTGTGAATGTTTAGTTTCTCCCTTTCTAATCTATATATCTTTGGTTTCCTATTAGGTTAAATGTCAAAAAAATAATTAATGTTGCAGATAAGTTGTTAATCACCTGACCTTCAGATGAGGAAATTATCCTAGATTGTTTCTGTGTCACAATGTAAGCACAAGTGTGTTCTAAGTGGAAAAGGTAGGCAGAAGAGAGAGAACCAGAGAGATAGCAGGATGAGAAAGACTCAGCTTTAAAGATAGAGGAAGAGGGCCATGAGCCAAGGAATACAAGCAGCCTTAGCAGCTGAAAAAAGCAAGAAACATTTTCTCCTAGTGCCTCCAGAAGGAGCAGGGAGCTTCCCAATACATTGATTTTAGCCCACTGAGACTAATTTTGGACTTTTGATCACCAGAACCATAAAATAATAAATTGGTTTGTTTTAAGCCATTAAGTTTGTGTTAATCTGTTATAATTACAATGAGAAACCAATGCACATGGTTTCTGGTGAGAAGGCAATTGTAATTATTTATCTTTATTCTCTTATGGGCAAGGTGGGCCTATTTTTTTGCTTTGACCTTTTCAAAATTTCCTTTGTTTTTCACTAAGTTTGAATATGTTAATCCTAGAGGTGTTGTATGGGAATTTGTTATGCTTAAAGCTTTTTGAAGATCTATAGTTTTGTTACTTCTTTTGAAATTGTCTCCCAGTCATTCTGTTCTTTTGGGGTTTTTTTATACTTTGTTTCTCAATTTTATCTCTCTGCACTCAAGTTTGGAAAATTTCCTTTTATTTATTTCCAAACTCTCTGATTTTCTCCTTGGTCGTGTTGTGTCTACTGATGAAAAAACCAAAGGCAATCTTCATGTCTGTTACAGTGTTTTTGATTTGTGCTAGTTTTGATTTTTGAATTTCCATCTCTACTGACATTACCCAACTGTTCTTTTATGTTATCTACTTTTTCCACAAGAGCCATTGCCATATTAATTTTAAGATCTTGCCTGATAATTCCAATATCTGTGTTATACATGAGACTGGTTCTGGTGTTTGCTTTTCATCTTCAGACTGTTTTTATTTCCCCATTAGATAGTAAGTTTGTGTTGTTTAAGCAACTATGATTGTGATCACTTGTTACAAATCCAACAGAAAACTAGTGTATTCTCCCATCCCTTCTTAAATAAGCTTCTCATTCTGCTCAGGATATGACACGTTCCACATCAGGTTTTCCCCTGCATGTGTTTATACCCTTTGTAGTACACTTAGTATTTGGCTTCCATAGAGGGTAACTATGGATGTCTACCATACTCTAATGGACATAATTAATTTAGAATTCTATGGCTCAGAATGGGAAGACATGGGCAAAGAAGGGTGAAGAGGAAGAGAAAAAGAAGAAAGTACATAATGTTTAATGTTCAGGTTGCAGTCACTTAATCAAAAATCATCCCACTAGCAAAGATGTACCAGTCATTTCTGAGAGTCATTAAGAGAGGGGGGAGATGTTACAACAAAGGTTCTCCCACTCCAGGTCTTGGTTACTGCCCCTGATATCCTTGTACTTAGGGAGACAACTGCCCCTGCTAATATTGGAAGGGGAATAATTGCTGCTCCATAGATCCATTAGTGCAAAACATAGTACATTCCTTCTGTAAGTCCCACAATACTTTGAAGCTGGGTGTGTACATAAAAGAGGAACATTCAATAGAGTGAACAACTTACAACTACTTTATAGCCAGTCTCAACTCAATTTCTCCTAAAGGGACTTCTCTGACTCACTCTCTGCTATCATCACTCCACATTCTACACTTTATATGTCTCCATGTCTCAGAGTCTGAGCCTCAGAGAGATGGGGAAATAACCTAACCCCAGACTAACACTTGCTGTAGCTTCATTTCCTACTGTATGATTTATCTTGTCTCAAGATGATGAGGAGTGAGCATTTCTAATCCCTTCTCCGGTGGTATGATCTGGTTCTATGGTCCAGACAAGTCAATCTCACAGTAGCCCTCCATCTGTAGATACTTTAAAATGTTCCTCAATCACTCTTAAATATTAACAAGTCTGGAGACACCAGCAGCACCTCATATCAGCTACAGTCATGGCAAAAATGATCCTCATTTTTTCTTTAAATCTTGCTTTGTGGAAGCTTTAGAAGTTTTGGAATTAGGTCTTACACACTGTCACTAAAGTCACTTAGTAATCAACATAATGACCATTGACTATTGCCAGGGATTATAAAGCTTCCATTGCATTAACTGCTTCACTTAGCCACTATTATGAAAGGTTAAGTGAAATTGAATAGAAAACTCCATATACCTAACCTCCTCTGTCCTTGACATTCTCAATCTTGTCACCATTCTATGTCTCAAAGCAAGCAGGAATCATCTCATTATGTCCTTTATCCTTATTTATGTCAGTGATCATAAAAATCCAAACCCATTATGCATTCTTATGCACATTCCATTTATGACCTTCTGTTTTATATCAATTTATGGTGTCTTTGGAATTTACAGTCCAGAACTAACCAAATTCATCATATCAACATCTCACTTAAAAGATACTGATTCTCCCATAAGAACACTCACCCCCCTCAAGTGATTCCCTTCTCTCCCATGTTTTGGGACCATCCTGCCAGTCTGCTGGGTCTTCTTTTTACCAACAGACAAAACTCTCCTTCAGAGTTTTTGCAAGAATATTTGCCTTGCTTGGATTACAAATTGATGCCTCCCTTACAAGTGCTTCCTCAAATGTTTTCTCTTCAATGAGGAGAACTATAATCACCATATTTATACCTCTAGCCCACCTAGCCACCCCACTTATAGTTCTCCAAATTCTCCCATACTACCTACTCTAATTTTATTTTTTCCATAGCACCAACACTTTCTAAAACACTATGTAATTTACTTACATATTATGTATTTTATTTATTGTCAATCTCCCCCTTGCTCAATTTCAAGTTCCCCAAGGGCAGAGATTCCTACGTGGTTTTGTCAACTAAGGTATGTCAAGCACATAGGCACATAGTAAGTGCCGAAATAAATACTTTTTTGATAATAGAATAGGCCCTCACTACAATATTATGAAGAAGACACAATATTCCTCTTTTCAGATGAGAAAATGGAAGCTTTGAGAATATAAGTGCATCATTAAGTCACACTACTTGCAATGAAATAACCCAGATTCCTATTCAGGCCTCTTTCACTAGAGCTAACACGCACTATCTCACACCCAATGGTGGTTGCCCAAGGTAGGTAGGGGAGGGAGATACCACGACGGAGGCGGGTGGAAGAGGAAGTATAAATAAATCTCTATGCCAAACTAAGCAGCTTGGATACTTTCCATAGCAGAAGTTCTGAATTGGAAATGGTGACATAATTAAACTACATTTTAGAAAGGCAATTCAAACAGCTGCCAACTGGAGCAGTGAAGCCAACAAATTGCCAGGGGAAAAGAAAGATCACATTTAGTGGGGCTTAATGCAGCACTTAGATTTCCACAGCTAAAAATGACTTTCTTTTTTCTAATTCATTAGTGTAAGTAACTCATTCACCCCATTCTTAGCTTAGAAAAAAGTCTGACGTAGCATGAATATTTGTGAAAGCATACTTTATTCATACTTTAGATATTGGTAAACTAAACAGTTTCCATTTGGATACAGTCAAGAGTTGTTAACAATATTCGGAAGCACCCGGTGTGAAATCTCTTGAGATGCTATTTTTCTCAGAGGACAGGTCATACCACCTGACACATTCAAGTACCATCAGACATGTCATTAAGCAGTGGCTCAGAATGCAGACATGTTCTAAATAGGCAGCAACTGGATGGTGTTATTTCAGTTACAAGTGTCCCTTGTGTTGTCAAGTGAAAGAAATACACAACCCATAGGGCCTGGGTTGGGTCAGCTGTTTAGCTGACCCCTTGGATAAAGTCTTACAATCATATAATATTGCCTAATAGGTAAAAAAGAATAAAGAGTCGAAGGAAATAGTTACAGGATATGGGAATTATAAATAATACATATATTAATAGATAATCATTTCCATTACATAAAAACTGCAATTATAAATATTTCTTGGATTGATGAATCTAAATATATTCTCCATATAAATAATGTTAAATAGTAATAAATAGATTTAGATTTTAAAAAACTCAACTAATGCTGGAAGGACGAGTCTTAATTGGATGCTCTGCAGCCCCAAAGCAGCACCGACTCCTTTTTCTCTTCTTTAGGACAGATCTTGGAGACAGGTCATTCATCACTTTGATGAGTTCACTGATGGCTTTGCGTTGGACCTGTGGGTCATTTACCTAATGGGAGGAAAAACAGCAAAATACAATTTCAGGCATGCAAGCCATCAGGACAGTCTCCTTTGATGACATCATGGTCAGTGAAAATGGAAATATTCCTTTTTAAAAAGATGATTCTGAATATTAGTATGTTTCCTCAAAATACAATATTCACTTCTTCAGTAAAGGCTAAAAGAACAATTAAATTTTAAGTTGTACAGTAATGGGGAATACAGTGGGTTATGTCACTTGACATATATTTACTGCTACAGAATTCTCAAAATTATAAAGAAAAAGAGCTCTGATGTGGAATGAAAAAAAAAAAGATGGACTGAATCATCCATGCAGTAACTCTGACTTTGAACCACTAATTTAACCTTTCTGAACCTCTATTTACTCATCTAAACAATGAAGAAATTGCTAAAATGACTTTTAGTCTACCAATTCTATCACTTTACACTGAGTCATACTTGCTCTACATTTCAAATGAGTTCTATAAGCCAATGCTTCTCACCTTTTGTGTGTAGCAGACTAACCTGGGACCTAGCAAAGAACTCAGAGACCCAGTTGTATGAAGGAGAAAGCCATTTCTATTGTATGGTCACTAAGTTCCCAAAGTAATTAGTATACCCACCAAAGCTTGAAAGCAACTGAAGCAGGCTAATTACTTTGGAAAAGTAAGTCCAAGATAGGGAAAAACTATTTTAAATTTCTCCCAAATTAGGTCAGTCTCATCACTTCCAGAATCGGATTAAAGATAAACAATTGTGCTCATATGGCAATAATCGAATTACTGTTATAGAACATTTAAAATTAGGAAATACAACTTTTCCTATTCCTCGTGTCCTACACCAGCAAATTGAACCATTTGCATTTCTTCATTCTAAGCAATATAGCCATTTAGGACACTTCATGTTTAATGAAATGAACACCATTTATTTTCATCTCTTTCTAACACTGGAAATGCTGGGGCCATGTTGCCACATTTCCAAGAGTGACTAGGGAGTTTCTAGGCTGCAGGTCTTACTATCAAAGAGTACAGCTGCCTAAAGTATGTATACTACTCAGCAAAGGACAATGGCTAAGAGCTCACTCAAGATGGCCTGTCATAAAGCAAGAGCCTGGAGCTTCCAGAAAGATGAAACTAAGAGTTTTTTTTTTCCACTTTTCAAGATCCAATATAACAGAATAGAAAACATTACTACCAGCTGTTTTATAGGCTGTTTTTTTTCATGTTCAAAGCATCACCAAGAGTCTGCAAGACTTATCCAAGACAGAACAGCAAGACAGGGGTGGGCCCTGGGTTAGAAACAAGTGCTTTCTTGGTCACTGGGTCTCTAGCATATGGCCCCAGGAAAACTATTGCCATGTCTCCTTACAGCTCCTGGAGCTTTCATGAGTCAGGTGAGAGACTGACTAGGGTTTAATGAAAGCACAAATCATAAGGGCACAAGTCAGTCATTCAAGCTCATTTATATGAAAGCCAAAAGATTCTGGAAGCCTTTGTCTTATAGATAAAATTCTGAAAGACATGATTTGTCTTTATACTTTAAAGTTATCTTTTAGATTCTAGAAGCCATAATTTAAAGACTTAAGACAATTTCATGCAATAAAACTTGGGAGCCTAAGGTTCTCCAGCTGAGATCTTCTAGTATCTGAAAGTTAATCAAGCTATCTTGTCAAAAGGTGTAAGTCCCACCATTTCCCCACCTCCAGAAGCAAGTGTGAAAAACTGAAACGCTGGTAGTGTGGTACCCCTGTGCCTCCCTTGAGGTAGCTTTCTCCTCTCATTCTCATTTTCTACTCATGGCCTTGCAAAGTTTCAGAACAAAGGAGATCATAGAACTTATGTAGTGAACTCAACAAGTTCTTTTCAAAATGAGGAAACTGAGCCCCCGCCAGGCATGTGATTCATCTGAGATCACACAGTTCCTTGTGGCCAAGTTGGGAGGAGAATATAAATCTTCTCACCCCCTCCCACTGCTCTTTCCACTAAGACACACAGCCTCCAGTCCAAAGCAAGAGAATTTCCATCACACAAGCAAGGGGCCATGAGAGCACTGCTTCTCAATACTCCTCTCTACTGCTTCATCTGCTTCCTCCTCACTGGATTTATCCATGACATGCACAACAGTCTTAATGCCTGTGGTTTTCCAGATGATCCTGACTTGATATAAGCACAGTGGGATTAAGAAGACTTTCAACCAGGAGTTTCATAGCCTTAACAGCTTTTAAGCAGCTAATTTCTACTTCCTGAGAGTTAAATGCTCTGCCCTGAAACCAAAGAAAGCATTGACATAGTCTCACCGGAATCTGAGTCAGCTTTACGAAGTCATTCAGTTTGTTGCTGCTGCTGTTGAAGAACTTAACAAACAGGTCTTCCTTGATGGTGTCCATGCTCTTCTGGATGTGCTGGTTGTCTTTTAAGCTTTCAAAGAGTTTGAAGTAGAAGGAGACAATTTGGCTCTGAATTATTTTTTTGTCACTCTCCTTAGGAGAAAAGAACACAGAGAGGATGATGTGAATTTATCCATCAAAAAATAAGCAACATGAAAACCAGCCAAATAGGAATATTCAGTTTACCTCTTTCCAGTCCTTCAAAATATCTATGAAAAGAGGCTTCCCATCTGCTACATCTGAAGTGCTTGCATTCTGAGAAAAGAAAGAAAAATTCATTTATAATTAGTCCATAAACTGTCCTAAAACATGCATCAAGCTTCATTGAACTCAAAAGCTGACAATAGTTACTGTCTTGTCAACCCTCCGTTTAGCTCTAACAAGATGTATTCCCAAAAGCTTATAGGTTAGCTTTAGCTAACCACAATTGTGCTCTTTTAGCTTTCTCATTTACTGTGTAATCCTTACACTGCAATATCACAAATGAACTCAACACGGCTGATGACACTTCAGGTGTCCTAAATAACTACAGCAAGTTAAAGAAGTATTTTCAACCCTAGCTTTAAAAGAGTCAGCAAAGCCATCCCACTATAATACACTGCCCCCTGTGGTACAGGTTTCTATAACCTGTACCTGTGCCCTGGTATAGGGTTTTATTATACCCAGCTTTAAAGCATAGTTCCAAATACATGTTGTGAGAGAGATTTGATTTATACTGTGAGAATAAAATTGATTGTGAATTCTTAAACATTTATAATAGCTATAATCACAATAGCTTAAGTTTTGGACAAATACTATTTTAAATGAAAAAACTATTTTCATTAATCAGAAATAAAATTCAAAAAGGGATTCATAAAACAAAAATTATAAAATCTTAGGCCAGACTCATAACTTCTACAAAATCTCAGTGAGTGAATGACTTCAGGAAAAAAATCACAAGTAAAATTGTGAAAACAATAAGAACTTCACCTTCTTTTACTTTATGATCAATTATTTCCTATTACTATTTTCAATGTTAATCTTTACCTTTCACTGTCACTTCCATGGTAGTCTGAGAATCAGAAATTAAACCCAATCATTTTCTTCATATGTACACTTCTTAACTGATTATAACTGAGTGGATTCTCACCACAAAATCATCAGTATGATTGCATTTTATACATATGTTTTGCCCATCTTTTGGAGGAATCATAAATGCCAAGTCTCTCTAGCAAACTGAGCAGAAGATTACAGCAATGTCTAGCTTGTTAAGTCAAGAAACATCCCTTGAACAAGTTAGCAAAATAACACCATATCTTCTCAAAATGACTGTGGACTAGAGATGGTGGCCTACTAGCTACAACTACAAGTCAACATCCAGTCATTTTCAACCACAAGCAAGTATTATTAAAAGATCATACTTACAAAATATTCCTTGAGATTTTCTATTTCTTTAAAAAATGTGGCCTGGCAGTAACAGCTTGAAGAACCCAAAATGATGCAGAGCTGAAAAGCCAAGATATAACTTGTATAATTCATTGTGTTCAAAGTGACGGAGTTGAAATCAGTAGCTCCTGAGTAAGTCAACCAGGTCCAAAGGACTTAGCTGATCTTTCTTTTCTAATCGCTGTTCTGCCAACAATCGGAGCTATGTACTGAATCTCCTTTTGCTGCTGGTATTTATACCTAATTGAAGTCTCATCAGGATTACGTATTTTCACAAGTTTTTTAAGATGAGATGGTGACAGATAGGCAGGGACTAGTTAGTTTGTATTAATAACTATGGTTTTGTGGCATTTGGGTGTTATAGTTAGAGTTTCCTTTCAATTCCTTGGGTCTTTTGACGATGAGACAGACCCATTGTACCCACCTGTGCCATTCTTGTGGGATCCTTTGAAAGCACTTTTACTTCGCACCATTCAGGGGCTGGAAATTTTTTTGCATATCCCCTTTTGCCCTTGTAAAATGTTGACTCCTCATCCACAGATCACATTGATCATTTGTTTGTGGTTGGGAACAAGTAAAAAAGGAAATTCTAGGGCCTCTCAAACTTTTACAAAGGGGAAGCCGTTTTTAATTTTTCTTGCAAATGACCAGAAAGCAAGGAAAGAATATGGCTAAAAAACCAATGTGGTGAGGAAGTCCTTCATCAGAGTTGATTAGTAAAGCACTTTTCACAAGTTTCAAATTGCTTTACTGCCCAGCAGCAATATGATGCAAACCACATAAATTTAAATTATCTAATAGTCCCATTAATAAAAATAAAAAGAAATATGTAAAAACAATTCAAAATATATTTAAACCAACATATGCAAGATAATATTTTAATATATATCAATATATTATTAATAGATACTTTATATTTTATCATACTAAATCCTTAAAATTTATTCTAGCCATTTCAAACGCTCAATAGCTACATGTGGCTAGGAACTTCTGCATTGAAATGTAACTCTAGACAATCAATTGTTCCAAATAATCACTAGTAATAGAGAAATTTTTTTAACATTTTGTTTATTTTCCCCCCTTAAATACAAAAATTAAGATTCCTTCTCCTCCCTTGGCAATTTATTTGTAAAGAATACCCTCTGAGATTGCACAGAAGGCCCTTCACTCTTTGGTTCCAAGCCACCTTGTATTTCTACCTATACTGTGTACAATGAAGTATGATGGCTATGGGTGCAAACTCCATTCCCACATAGCTCTGAGATCTTCAGTAAGCTTATTAACTCTTCTATGACCTGGTTTCCTTATTTCTAAAGTGGGTTTAATAATAGTGTTTCTTTTCAGGCTTCAGCTGAAAGTTAAAGCAGACAATGCATAAGAATTTTTCCTGGAATATAGTAATCACTCAATAAGTTCTTTATTGTTATTCAGGCATGATAGGTGACTAGTCATTCCTTAAAAACACACTCTGAATTTTGTTCATGCAGTTTCTTTGGCTTTGCATTCCATTTGCCCTCGTCTGTGCTTCTCAGAATGGTATCCAACCACTCAGGCCCAGTCTAAGAAACATCTCCATGACTTCTCCCAGAATTCTTCTACTTTAAAAACCAATCTCGTGTCTCTCTACTAGCCTTTATACTTTTCTTAGAGTCCTAATCCTCAGTCTCATATGACAGTTATCATGTGTCTTTTGCCATGTTTGACTGAATTTTCCTAAAACCAGAAATTGTTTCATTGCTTCTATAGCATCCTTTTCGTCCCTAAAATATTTTAATGTGGAGATTTGCTCACAGATAGTGCTGAATAAATGGAAATTTGAGTGCTCACTTATTTTCCCTCAAGTTCGAAACCCAATGCTATCAGGCTCACATCGAATTAAATAGTATTTATTATTAATATTAGAAACATGACGTTATGTGTCTCTAGCCAATGCCTGCTGAGTGGAACAATTCCAGGTAAAGTTGTATGTTAAAAAGAAAAAGGACCTTTGAGGAGTTACTTTTCCAAAGAGTAAATGAAATCAAAATAACCATGAGATGAGAGCATCTTGTACAGCAAGTGAAGAGTGTGGAAATTACATGGCTGCACACAGGATCTGTTGCTCTCTTCAAGGAAAAATGTGGTCCAGAGAAGGTACTTGCTGGGTAAAACAATGATATGAACAAAGCCTTATCAAAGCCTTGACACACCATTGACAATCAATACCTTCTAGGAAACCAATAGTCAAACACTGCAAGGAATAGTCCATATTTTCTGGAAAGGGGTAAAAATTAGTTCTATCCATTTCTTGATTTATCCACTGAAATATAGTGTTAGGAAAAGAAAATAAGAACAGTAGGATCCATGAATTAAGAATAGTAGGATCCAATAGTTGTTGCATATGGAGAACTGAATTTCCAACGTGGCCAAATGGCTAGAATTAGTTACCACATAGCTAAACCCCAAGCTCCAATAACTCTTGCTAGCATGACCGAGCTCAGAATTATGGAATTATAGATTATCTATGATCTACCCCTTCATTTTTTAGATTTATAAATCAAGACCTAGAAAGAGGGCAGAGCAGGTTCTGCCTGTAGTGGTGGGGTAGGGGAGGTGGCCAAATAATGTAGACACATTTAAGTAAATGTAAAAATGATAAAATAAAATTTAAATTTAAAAAAAAACCTTCACATTCCTAAACTGGGCATGGTGGCTCATTCCTGCAATCCTACCTACTCAAGAAAGGGACACCATAGTTCAAGGACAGCCTAGGCAAAAAAATTCCAGAGACTCAGAGACCTCATCTCAAGCAATTAAGAAAGCTAGGTGTGGTGGTACATGTCTGTTATTCCAGGCAGGCCCAGCCATAAACAGGAGACCCTTTTCAAAAACTAACTGAAGCAAAAGGGGCTTGGGAGTATGGCCCAGGTGGTGGAGCACCTGCCTAACAAACACAAGGCCCTGAGTTCAAACCCCATTAGTTATTTGTTTTTTGGTTTTGGTGGTACCAGGCTTTGAACTCAGGGCCTTACTCTGGCTGGGCAGGGCTCTCTACCACTTGAGTCATTCTGCCAGCTCTTTTTTGCATTGGATATTTTGGAGATAGGGTCTCTGGAATTATTTGCCTGGCTCATCCCTGAACAGAGATCCTCCTGATCTTTGCCTCGCAAATAGCTAGGATTATAGGTACAAGCCACAAAAAAAAAAAAAACCTTATATAAAGTCATACTGTTTGTGTTCTGTTATTCTTTATTTGTATTACTGAATTTTGCCTGCTTATAATTTGTTAAGGATTTCAGAGATTGGCCTATAGTTTTCTGTTCTTATAAAGTTCTTGTGAGACTTTGTTATCTCAGTTTTCTGGTCTCATCAAGTAAGCTAAGACATGTCCCCTCCTCTCTATTCTCTGGAAAACTTTGCAAAACATTAGGGAAGCTAGTTTGGGACTGGAGTTTCTTTGTGGGGGAAGATTTTTAAATTAGGAATTCAGTTTTTGAAAATAAATTGTATTAGTTTTCTGTGGCTGCTATAACAATTTAACATACATTTCATAGTTTAAAACAATGCAAATTCACTGGGCATGGTGGCACATATCTGTAATCCCAGCACTTTAAAGGCTAGGGCAGGAGACTGGTGAGTTTGAGGATCCAGACTGGGCTACATAGTGAGATCCTGTCTCACCAGAACAAAAAAAAGAAAGAAAGGCAAATTCATGATTTTACTGGACTAAAACCAAAGTATTACAAAGGCGCTAAGGGAAAAATCCTTTTGTTTTGCTTGCCTTTTCTGGCTTCTGGAGACCACCCACTTAGCTCATGGCCCCTTCTTGCATCTTCAAAGCCAGCAGTGTTCCATCTCTAGTCCTTCTTCTTTAGTCACATCTTCCACTGGCTACAGAGTGGAATGGTTCTCCACTTTTAAGAACCCATGCTATTAGAATGGACCTTCCTGGATAATCCAAAATAATCTCCCATCTCCAGGTCCTTAATCCCCTCTGCAAAGTCCCTTTTGCTATGTAAGGTGACATTATTCACAGGTTCAATGGATGTCCATTACAGACCATTATTGTAACAACCATACAGACATTCAAAGTAAATTTAAAACATATGCATATTTCCTATTTTTCTTGTTTCATTATATTAAATAGTGTTTTCCAAGGAATTTGACTATCTCACATATGCTGTCAAATTTATCAGCACTATATTATAACAGGCTCTTTTAATGGTTTTAATGTCTGTAGGATATGCATTTTAAAAATACTATTTTTCTTTATTTAGATTTTTTATATGGGCAATTTATGCCACATTTTTCTTGTCTTGAGATTTGTAACATTATCTTTTTAAAATATTTCAAAGAAAGAAATTTTAGTTCTGTTGATTAAAAAAAAAATCAAGACCTAGAAAAGCAAAATGATGTATTTAAATTTACTGACATGATTAACACAGTGCTGAATCTAAAACCAAAATTCTTTCCTTAATCAACCTATCCCTGAGCTGATAAATAGCCTTTAAAATTATTGTATGTGCTTCTAATTCATATGTTAGGTGTAGGTTCAAATAATTAAACTCAGACAGGCTTTGCGTTCTGGGATTTTTTTATATAGAATTTATGAGATAGTGGCTCCATTTTAATTCTTTTAAAAACAAGGCTTTCAAATTCTTGACTGGCCATCTTAGCAGACTCAATGTCATGGACATGCCACCCGAGCAGTCAATAACCCATACTTGATTTAATGGTCCGATGTTACCTTCTTGAAATTCCTAATAATTTTTAACAATGAGTCCTTATTTTCATTTTGCACTGTTGTTTGCAAATCATGTGACTGGCCTTGCATCCTAGGTTGGAAGTGAATAATCTATTAGGTTTTCTTATTTAGATATATGCTTCTTCAGTTCAGAATGCTGTCACTACAATGGTGTATCCTTTTATCGTCTTTTCCTGTCCTGTCAACTTTGCAAACATCGAAATTTCTCTCTCTTTGCTGCCTGTAAAACACCTATGTTACACATGCAAACTAGAGGTTTCACACATTGATGGTTCAGCCAATACGGAGCCTACACAATAATTCACCACCAAGATATCCTTTAAAAGCTTTTTAAAGCCACCAGGAGCCA